GAGATGATGCCACCCCCTCAGAGGTCCTCAAAGGTTGCCAACCCTGAAACAACATACAGAACTACCACATTTTGCTATAAGTTTGATTGCATCATATAATAATTGCTGTTAATAGTGTTCATCGTCTGTTTGATTACGCATTTAATTGATTTTGCCGTACATTTCTGCCATATGTACATTAACTGACAGTCACCACTGATAAGCTACTACTAAATATATTGTAGAAATGTAATTTTCTGTAAAGTTGCTTTGCAACGATTTGTATCGTGAAAAGCGCTATACAAATAAACTTGAATTGAATTGAAATCTCCCATTTATGTCCAAAAAGAAGTGTCAAACTCAGCTCCTTGAGGGTCACAGTCCTGCATAGATTAGCTAAACTCTAGAGGGTTGTAGCCCTACCGAAACTGAATTTGACATCCCTGGTATAAAATATTAGAAAAATATTATCCTTATCCAACAAGCAAACTATCTGTTAGAGATATGTGAACTAACACCCAGGCAGAACCAGGCCTCTTGTTACTGTGGTATCAAAGACATAACACCTAGATAAGACTGGTTTACAATAGGGCTGTGTATCACCAGCAAAGTCACGATACGATACGTATCACGATACATAGGCCACGCTACGATACATATCACGATATAGGACTGCACTGAATTTCACCTCAGCAGAATTTAGTAAAACAGCGGTTTATTAAACACTGCATACTATAGGGCCATTTCTAACTATTGGCAGAGCAGGCAGTTGACCTCTGCATTATGAAGGGCCTCCATAACTGTACCACAGTACAATATAGGTAATGGCATATGTTTCATGTTTACATTGGGCACTCCCCACCAGGTCTGTTTTTAAGCCCATAAATAATATGTACTCGTTCTAATAAGTTTATATTGTAATGTACTCATTCTAATATATTAAAAAATCATATTTACATTGCAGGTAGGTTATCATTGCACAAATGAACACACTTTCTATGTTTAAAAAAGAAAAAGAAAAATTAGGAGAGTTCTATACTAATGCGCTGTCTTCACTGTATCTAACTCACACAGATCACGTTGCGACCGCACTCAGACATTTAGCAACAAACTTTTTAGCGCTGCCCCGCAATATTATAATTATAACTAAATAGCTTAATCGCTCAAGAGCTACATTATTTTTCTCAAC